TGTGTTTACTCTGCAGATATGTGAGTATTTTAGAGGACCTGTGATAACTCTGGGTATATATGAGTACTCTGTGGAAATGACTACCCTGAGTGCACGATAATTCTGAGAATATGAGACTACTGTGGGAATTTATGATTACTTTGGGAATATAAGTTCACTCTGGGGTGATTTGATTACTTTGGGGATGGGCATATGTGATTATTTGGGGAGTATCTAATTAGTCTGGGATGATGCGATTGTTCAGTGATGATTATATTTTGTTCCTTTGAGAATTTCTAAGTTACCCAGGGGATTGTGAGATGTCACAAGGAATATGTGATTACTTGGGTTTACCACATCCTGGTAATGTGTGAATTACCCCAGGTCAACAGTGAAAATATGTCACTACAATGTCATGAAAGGAAAAACTAATACTACATCACCACTCCTGTCTCCAAGTAACAGAAGAGATATCTGTACACTGAGCAGCATCTTTCAATCCTCTCCTACTCAGTGAGATATCTAAATACTGACAAGAGTCTGATGAAGGGTCTAGGCCCGAAACGTCAGCCTCTCTGCTCCTATGATGCTGCTTGGCCTGCTGTGTTCATCCAGCCCTGCACCTTGTTGTCTAAGAGTCTCTCAGGCCCCTGTTTTGCTGTCAGATAAATGTACACTAACCGGTGTCTCTCACGGAGATAGCTACACCGACTGGTGTCTTTCAGTCACCTCTCTCAGCAAGATATCTGTACACTGACTGGGATCCCTCAGTCCGTGTCCCTCAGGGAGATATCTGAGCATGGATTGGAGTTCCTCAGTCCCTTCAGCGAGTTATCTATACATTTACTGGGATCTCGAAGTCTCTTCATTCTCAGAGAGGTATCTGTATACTGACTTGAGTCTCTCAGTCCCTTCTCTCAGCAAGATATCTGTACAGTGACTGGTGTTTCTGTCCCTCTCTCAGGAAGATATCTCTACACTGACTTGTGTTTCTCAGTATCACTCCCTGCTGGAGCTTTGCAAATACAGATAGGAGCTTCTTAGTATTGCTCCCTAGTGGAGGTAACTGCACATTGAAAGGGGTTTCTCAATACCTCACCCTACAAGTATCTGTGCGCTGTCTAGAGACTCTCAGTTCTGCTGTGTAAAGGAGTTCTGTTAATTGGGTTGACAGAGATAACATGGATTTCAAAACAGAGTTGGATCAGTACCTGAAGAGAAACAATTTGCAGTGCTATGAAGACAGAATGGGGAATTTGATGGTCTTGGAGTGCAGAGCCAGGGGTTTCAATAATTCCTTGGAGCAAGGCTGCTCTGCTGTGATATCAGGAAGCACTTCTTCATGTTAAATAACCAAGGAAAATAGATAAGAAGTTAAGATACAGATCACACACTTATTTTGTTGAAATAGTGGGACAAGCTTGAGAGGGGCTGAATGGCCTCCTTATTTGTAACGTCACTCGCAGATTTGCCAGAGCACATGCGGTAATTCAAAGGTTAACATTATTGGTGTTTTAAAAAAAGAACAGGGAAGACAGGTTGCTAGGCAACATGCCAGCTGAATAATAATAAAAAAGAGAGAGGGAGAGGGAGCAGGACGAAGCAGCTCAACAGCCGTTGTGGAATTGCAGAGAGGGCAATTGAAATGAACATCGCTTCCCTGGTACGTGAGAAGCGGCGGAGGAGAAGGAGCAGCAACCGTGGACTGGTTCCTCGGGAGTCGGATCCTTCCTCGCAATCGCCGCCCCTCGCTGTACCCCTCCGACGAGCAGGGCTGAGCCGAGAAGGAAGCACACCTCCACTGAACAAGGGTAGGAGGCATTGGAGAGGGTGCAATAGAACAATTCACAAGGCTGACACCAGAACTGGCAGGGTAAATGTAAGGAAGACTTGCATTTGTACGGTACCTTTTTGCAAGCTGAGAATGTCCAATCAATGGGCTTTCCAGTCAATGAAATGTAGGCACTGCTGTAATGTAGGAAACGCAGCTGCTAATTTACACACAGCAAGCTCCACCAACAGTAATGTGATAACATTTGAGTGTATTTTCTTTCAAATTGCAATGGTGGTTGGTGGCTTAAGATTGGCCCCAGGACTGGGGAGAACTCCCTGGGTAATCCTTCCCTCCCTAACAGTAGTCATGGTATCTTTTATGGTTCACCTATGAGGGTGGATAAGGTCATTGGGTTTTAGCATGTCCTCCACAAACAGTGCCTCCAACTGTACGGCACTCGCTCTGTCAGCACTGACTGCATTTTCTGCTTTCCTCTCTGGGAAGGGATACATGCACGTAAACTTCTGACTCAGAGGTAGGAGGGTCGCTCCACCACCCCTGCATCCTGAGCCTCTCTGACACACGCAGTGCAGCTGTCAGGAAAGACTGACCCAGGATGAGGCTATTTTTCCTTCAGGAAGACATGGTCTTCAAGATTTTGAAGGTGGTGTGGACATAGAGAAAATAATTTCATTGATGTACTGGGAGGCAGTGGCGTTGTGATTGTCATACTGGACTAATAATCCAGAGGTACAGATTAAAATTTAGGGACATGGGTTCAAATCCCACAATGGCCACTGGTGGATTTAAAGTCAATTAATTATGAAACTGGAATGCAAAGCAAGTCTTCATATTAATGACCAGGGAACTTGTCAGTTGTCATTTATATCTGGTTCATCAACACTGTCCTTATTCAGTCTGGCCTACATGTGGCTGCAGACCAATACTCAACTGCCTTCTGTACTGATTTAGCCATCTAGTACTAGGCCAATTGGGGTAGGCGGCTTTGCCACTAATGCTCGCAGGGAATAAATTAAGACAGCCATCAACTAATCCACAGGGGCATCAGGAGAGACCTGTTCACCTGGAGAATGTGGAATTTAACATGGAATGGTTGAAATGAAAGGCAGTGATGCATTTAAGATGGAATCTCACTGGGCACCATGAAGGCGGAAGCAAGTGATAGAGACAATCGAATTAAGTGGGAAGAGGAGTGAGAAGAGATACATGTGAATCATTAAAACCAGCATAAGGCTGATGGGCTGAAAGGTTTCACTGAATCCTATGTTTTTGCCCATCCATTCTGCCCCTTCTGGTGTTTGTGCAGGGGTAGGGTGGCAGCAGATAGGCACAGCCTGAATCTAGGTGGGCAACCACGTTTGGAGGAAATCCTGAGGATACATGAAGAGATCTAAGGATACAGACGTAAGTCAACAGAATTAGGGTGAAATGTATAACATAAGGAAGGGATGTTGAATTGAGAGAGGGAGAGAGCGAGAAAGGAAAAGGAAGAGGAATAATTAGGTTTAATCTTCAAAAAAATTTACAGAATGATGATTCACAGGACTGGAACTCCACAGTTCTAGTTGGTCCCTTCAGGGCAATAAGGTGGAGTAACATTGTAAGGACATAAAATCTTGACACTAAAGGACATCTTACATTTGGGGAAGTGGAAGCCTAGTGGTATTATCACTAGATTATTAATCTAAAGACCCAGGTAATACTCTGGGGGAAAAAAAACCGAAAGAACTGCGGATGCTGTAAATCAGGAACAAAAACAGAAGTTGCTGGAAAAAGCTCAGCAGGTCTAGCAACATCTGTAAAGAAAAAATCAGAGTTAACATTTCGCGTCTGGTGACCCTTTCTCAGAACTGACTCTTCTGAGGAAGGGTCATCGGACCTGAAATGTTAACTCGGATTTTTTCTTCACAGATGCTGCCAAACCTGCTTTTTTCAGCAACTTCTCTTAATATTCTGGGGACCTGGTTTCAAATCCGTCGCAGCAGATGATGGAATTTGAATTCAATAAAAATGTGGAATTAAGAGTCTAATGGTGACCGTGAAGCCATTGTTGAAAAAACCCATCTTTAGGGAAGGAATACCTTTTAGGTCTGCCCTATATGTGACTCCAGATCCACGGCAATGTGAACTATTTAATGCCCTCTAGGTGATTAGGGATGGGCAAGCCCAGTCCACATCCTATGAATGAACAATAAATTCATCCAGCGGTTTTAACCTTTCTGAGAGTGGCTTTAATCTGTTTCAGTGCCACCGATGAAACTCGCGGTGAGTGTGAGGATGCGACGATGTCCAAAAAGCAGAGTGACGCGTCCAGAGATCGGGGTGACCTGTGGCTCTCACTCGCCTCCAGTTCTCTGGGTCGTTATGTAGACAGGCTTGTGCTCGCTGCTGTTATTCGGGGCCGCGCGTCGTAGGGGATATTGGCAGGAAAACTGGAGTGGAATTGGCCACCATCAGATCAGCTTATTGGACAGCAGAGCATTGCTGGAGGGACCGACTCATGCTCCTAGTTCTGATGTTCCCCTGTTTGCTGTTTGCTGGGCTAAGTACTTAGTAAGGGAGAGTGGGTGTGAGAGTTGACTGCGGACATCCTTGTCCTCAGATTTGGAGGAGATTGTTGACTGCTGACACTATTACCAGGTAACAAGGTGAGTGCCTGGCAATTGTCAGATGTTACATCTTCAACTGAAAGCAAGACATTCCCTTCCCTTTCACATCTAGGCAGCGCTCGCACGGGTTAAAAAGATCTCCACTACGGACCTTATGGTTGTCATGGCGAGAGAGAGGGACGAATCTTTTCCTGGGTGTTAGCTTTCCAATTGGCTGAAGCTGAAATAAAAAAAAAGGGAGGGGAATAATTTCCCATTTTTCTGTTTGGTTTGGAGAAATAACCTGGGGGAGGGGGAGGATTGGAGAAGTAGGAGGAGAGGGGCAAAGGGAGGATAGAAGGGGGATGTTTGTGTGGCTCATTCTCTCTCCCTGGCTGGTTGAGAGTGGAACTGCTCATTGAAGGGGGAAGTGTGTGTGTGTGTGGAGAGAGAGAGAGAGGGGAGGAGGAGAAGTAGAGGGAGAGCAGAAAGAGAGAAGTGAATGACACCATCCCCATCCAGCCAGCCCTATGCCTCTGCTCCAGGGATGGATTTGTGGCACGCCTGAGCGAGGGGACTCCTTTGGGCGCTTGGGCTGAGCTTGAGGTCGGCGAGCCACGCCGGAGGCAGATCTGTTAAAGAGTCAGAAGAGAGATGTGTGGAGGGGGGTGTTGTCGGTGAGTAGTGAGTCGCTGCGGGAAAACGGTGTGTATGTGTGTGGGGTGGGAAGGTGAACTGAGTAGTGATGGCTTGTCAGCAACATTGAGAGGTGGATGGAAGCAGGGACTGAGGCTCGGTGTCACCATGACAGGATACAAGACGTAGCAGCAGAGAGGCTGCAGGTAAGCGTCTTAGTTAACCCACTCTTGTCAATGCAGTGTGAGACTGGGTGTCTGTATTAAATTCCTTTGGTATCCAAAATGGTGGGAGTTTGGCTGAAGCTGAACTATTCTGGTAATCGCCTGTATTGTTATCTGCACGTATATCACATGTATAGAAACGAACAGATATTGTAGACTGACGATTTGTTTTACATTATTGTACATGGGCGGTTGTTCCCTTTTAAATTCCTGCAGTCACAGCTGCTTCTGTTATCGCTCCCTGAGAACAGCGGTGTTTTAAATGGGTACCCTTCAGCAGAAATGAGCAACAACCGAGTCTGCTGAAACAATCAATAGAAGATGAAGGGCTCCCGAATGGACAGAAATGCACGAGTGATTACACAGAGGAGCTGGAACGAGTTCTCCAGGAGCTGTTTAAATAGCCATGGCAGCATCTGTAATTGTAATCTGCCTCTCCAATCACTCCTCCACTCTCTCCAACCTATGTATAAACCATCTGACCCCCTCGATTAGATTCCAGTATGTAACTCACTGCCAGGTATCCATTATTCTATGTATAAACCATCTGAACCCCTCGATTAGATTCCAGTCTGTAATCCATTTTCCATCAGTAAGATCAGTCTAAACTTATAGACTGTGGTGTTCTTCATCCAAGAAGAACCTCTGTTACAAGAAATCTTTTTGAAGGACTGCATGACATAAAATTGAGTGTGACACTTTTAGTGTGAAAAATACAATATGTTTTAAAATGAGATGTTAATGGTTGCACTACAGCCCCTCCCCATAGTCTGTTACCAGGAACCACCCCACTCCCAAAGATTCCACTTCTACCCATTTTTGATGCTGGACAATTCTCTCCTGTTGCAGCTGACCTTTGCCTGCCACTAGTGCAGTGCCAGTGTTACTTGCTGCTTGTCAGCCTAAGCCTCGATGTTGTTCAGAGCTTGCTACAGGATGGCACAGGAAGCTTAGTAACTGAGGAGTCATGGATGGTGTTGAACATTGTCCACCTTCTTCTTCAACGGAGGATTCCCCAGCACCATGGGCCTCAACCGCTCCAACCCATCTCCTGCACTTCCGCCCTCACTCCCTTTCTCCCCTCCTGCAACAGCGATAGAGTACCCCTTGTCCTTACCTGCCATCCTGCCAGCATCCACGACCAGAAGATCATCAGACACCATTTCCACCACCTCCAGTGAGATGCCATACTCCGTACCCCTCCCTTGCCTGCCCTCCAGGACACCCTGGTCCACTGTTCCTTCAACCCCAACACCACCCAACAACCCCACGGCACCTTCCCCTGCAAGCGGCGAAAGTGTAACATCTGCCCATTTACCTCCTCCCTCCCCAGTATCCAAGGGCCAAACATACCTACCAGGTGAAGCAACACTTCACCTGCACTTCCCAGAATCTCCCATGTCCTAGCCCGCTACCCCACACACCAGGCTTTGTTATCACATTACCTATTGTTTGTCTCCATTAACATCTATTCACCCTCCTAGGAAGATCATTATCAACTCCTTTGTCTATCCAACTGCTCTTCTCTCTCTTTGGGCTCTATCCTTTATCCTATTGTTCACTCCATACCCCATCCCCCTATCTTCTGCATATAAACCAATGCTTTCCTAGATACAGAGACAACAAGGTGCAGGGCTGGATGAACACAGCAGGTCTGCTCCTATGATGCTGCTTGGCCTGCTGTGTTCATCCAGCCCTGCACCTTGTTGTCTCGGATTCTCCAGCATCTGCAGTTCCTACTATCTCTTTCCTAGATACCATCAGTTCTGAGAAAGGGTCACCGGACCCAAAACGTTATCTCTGATTTTTTTTCTTCATAGATGCTACTAGATCTGCTGAGGTTTTCCTGCAAGTTCTGCTATTGTCCAATCCTCAGTGAATATGCCCACAATTTTCACACACTTATCTAAATGCTGAGAGTCACAGAGTCATTTGGCATGGAAACAGACCCTTTGGTCCAGCTCATCCATGCCAATCAGATATCCTAATCTGACCTAGTCTCATTTGCCAACATTTGACCCATATCCCTCTAAACTCACCTATCCAGACGCCTTTTAAATTTCGTAAAAGCTCCCCACCTCCACCACTTCCTCTGGCAGCTCATTCCATACACACACCACCATCTGCATGAAAAAGTTACCCCTCAGGTCCTTTTTAACTCTTTCCACTCTCACCTTAAACTTATGCCCTCTAGTTTTGGATACCCCTACCTTAGGAAAAAGACCTTAGGTGTAGACCCTATCCATGCCCCTGATAATATTATAACCCTTTATAAGGTTACCCCCTCAGCCTCCGACACACCAGAGAGAAAACCCTAGCCTATTCAGCCTTTCCCCATAACTCAAACCCTCCAGTCCTGGCATCTTTCTTGTAAATCTTTTCTGCACCCTCTCAAGTTTAACAACGTCTTTCCTATAGAAGAGCAACCAGCTTTGTGTGCAGTATTCTAAAAGTGGCCTCACCAATATCCTGTACAGCTGTAACATGACATCTCATTTCCTTTACTCAGTATTCTGACTAATGAAGGCAAGTCAAACACCACCTTCACCACCCTATCTACCTGTGACTCCACTTTTAAGGAACTACGCACCTGCACCCCTAGGTCTCTTTTGTTCGGCAACATTCCCCAGGGCCCGACGATTAACTATGTAAGTCTGCTCTGCTTTGCCTTACCAAAATGCAACACTTCACATTTATCTAAATTAAACTCCATCTGCCACTCCTTGGCCCTTTGGCCCGTTTGATCAGGGTCCCAGAAGCAGAGCTCTGAAGTGCAGAGAGATCTGGGTATCCTAGTGCTTGAATCACTAAAGGTTAGTACATAAGTACAGCAAGTAATCAGGAAAACTAATAAAATGTTATGTTTTATTGTGAGGGGATTTGACTGCAAGAGGAGGCAGATATGTTTCAATTATATAGGACATGGTGAGACTAATCTGGAGTACTGTGTACAGCACTGGTCACTGTACTTACTAGTGCATTGCAAGTATTTCAGAAAATGTTTACCAGACTAATAACTGAAATGAGCGATTGCCTTATGAGGAAAGGCTAGGCAGGCTAGGCCTGTATCTGGAGTTTACAAGAGTCAAAGGTGACTTAATTGAAACATGTAAGGTCCTGAGGGCACTTCACAGGTGAGTGTAGAGAGGATGTTTTGTCTTGTGGGAGAATCTAAAACTAGGGGTCATGGTTTAAAAATAAGGGGGTATCCATTTAAAACAGACATGAGACATTGTTTCCACTCAGTAGGTTGACTATCTGTTTGATTACTGAGGGGATGAAAGACTATTAGGGGTGGAATGCAGAAATGTAGAGTTGAAGTTAAAATCAGATCAGCCAGTTGGCTGGGCGGCTGGTTTGCGAGTTTATGCCAACATCATGGGTTCAATTCCACACCCAGCTAAGGTTATCTTGGAGGAGTCTCTTTCTCAATTCCTTCCCTTGCCTTGGTGTAAACCACCACCAGTCGTATCTCTCTCTCTCTCTCTATCTCTCTCTAGCTCATGCGCTCTCGCTCTGTGTGAAAGACAGTAGCCCTATGGTCCAGTAAATCAATGGCAATTTTACCTTTACACTACAGAACCAACTCCTCGGGTGGATGAGAGCAGAGGAAGGGGGGGTGAGGTAATGTTGTTATCAGCCCACAGGGAAGGGGCATGAGCTTATATCATTAGACCCAGGCCATTCACAGCTGATTTCAGGAGGTGATTCTCAAACCAACTTCTTTGACCCCTGTATGGTTCCAGTACCTACATCTCTCCTGATTCCGCATCTTTGTCTGTTGGATCCATCTGGCTTGCCTTCCCTTCAGTGACCACCATTGGAACACAATGTTTAAGCAGAACTATCCAGAAGCTTCCACAGCCAACGGGTCATCATCAAAACCATTGTGCCCCATTGTATTTACCACCTAGCCAAGAAGCCTGGCATAGAATGTGCAACCTGTCAGGAGCTAGTGACTAAATCCAACTAGTCCTTGCCATCCTTTCCTGCACCACACAAGCCTCCTCCCATTTCTCTTCATCCCAACCCATTAATGTAGGGGGCTGAGGGGAGATTTGTTCGAGATGGTTCAACATTGCAACAGGCTTGGATAGAATGGATGGGAAAGAGCTATTTCCCCCTACAGAGATGTTAGTGGTGACAGGCAATTGAGTCAAAGTAGACAGGAGATGGGGTTGGCGGAGGTCTTAACTCACAGTCTGATAGGATGATGGAGTTTGAAACTCAACCAAAAGGAAATGCACCTGAGGCCCTATAACTTGCAGGGAGATGGAATAAGTGCTGGAAAATGGGATTAGACTGGGTGGTACTTTTTAGCTGGCACTAACACAATGATGCAGAGGCGCCGGTGTTGGTCTGGGGTAGGCAAAGTCACATAACACCAGGTTGTGGTGCAACAGGTTTATTTGAAATCATAAGCTTTCAGTCTGAAAACTTCACCTGATGAAGGAGCAGCACTCTGAAAGCTTGTGATTTCAAACAAACTTGTTGAACTATAACCTCGTGTTGTATGACTACTAACACAATGGGCAATTGGTATCCTTCGTGTCGTAAATATTTATTCATTTTCCAAAGATTCTAAGTCTCTTAGGAGAAGGAATGTGCAGGGACTTGGTAGAGAGTGGTGGAGCAGCAGTGTATGAAGTGTTCCTTTGGAGGACCAGCAGCCACTTGTAAGATTAATGGCCTTTTCACATGCTTTAATGGTTCTATAATTCAATCTTTTCAATTCCAACTTCTTTCATATACATAGCTAGCTTCCCCTTACAAAGGTGTTTATGCTTTAACACCTCTGTGATAACAGTTTTCACATT